TGGTCGAAAATTGAACCCTGAGGAACTCCAAATATGATCGCTCAAGAGAAAGATGAGTTTCCACTGGTGAAATAAAACTTTCTGTTTGAGTAGAGGGAGATGAATCAGTCAAGCGTGGGGCAGGTAATACCACCCAGTGCTTACGGCATTCAAATTTAAATTGGATGATCAACGGTGTCAAAGCCAGCTCTGAGGTCTAAAAGGATTAAAAATGAGCAATTTGCTGCATCTGCTTTTCAAAGCATGACATCATCATTATTCAAATTAAAAGCAGTTTCTCCCACTTAGTGTGACAGTGGCCTCGCTTCAAACTATTGAGTGTCCTGCAGCACTTTGTGAAACAGACAACCATTCAGAGGTCTCTGTCAGTATATTATTTGATAACTCTGATGTCTGCCTAGCAATATCTTGTCCTGAAAATGCACTGGAAAGGACTCTGAAAACATTATTCGCCTGGATGGACTCTCTCTCTCTCTGGGGAGAGATGCATGTTGAAGGAGATATATTCCAAATGAAATTTCTGTCAGAAATAAACGTTGTTATTTCACATAACTGAGGAAGTAACTAGCGGACTTCTGATCATGATGTAAAAAATAAAAAACACAGCTAAATTCATGCTAAAGCTAACTAGCTTAGCAGTGCAGCAATAAATGCTGTTTCAGCTTTTCAGACTCTGTTGGAATTTGTGGGATTGTGTAAAGCTACCTTTAAATCACATATTTAAAGTGTGTTGAAGATTATGTTTCAACAGACAAACACCTGCTAGCAAAACATAGATAGGCCTTTAATCACTAAGAAATATGGACTAGTTCTGTAGTTAATGCTCTCTTGTAGGGCAGTGCAGTTTGATACATTAATGTCCTTTTCTTTGCTTACAGCTACAATACAGTGTTATCTGTGTGCTATAGTTTACTATTTCCATTTATTAGCTGCTTATATAATGCTAAATATGAGGCTTTATCATTTTATGGCCGGTTTATCATTTAAGCTGTGACAATTGTTAGAGTGAAAACTTTTTTTATAAAAGGGACAACTTTCAATCCATCAAATCATCCGTGGCCACAAAGGAACATGTTGTTTACCGAGTTGATGTTTTACAGCTGTGATCATGGGGTTTAGTGGGTTGGACATTAAGGAGGAAATACAATCAAGTAAATATGATCACAGGATCTTTTGACTGCTGACCTCTGCTCAACAAGAAAGCTACAAAAAGAGACCACAGAGCTATTGATTAAGACAACACAGCCTCGTCTGTCTCTGCCGGACTTTTCACTTCAGCGCTTGTAATGACACGCAGAACAAAAATCATTTCTGACCTACATGGAGGGTCACACGTCTGCTGCACATCAAACAGCCAGTCAGGTCTTTATTTTTAACTAACTAGAATGCAATTTCTTTAAAGTTTCTGTTTCAACAACATTTTTGCCCCTTTACATTAACCCTTTTACTTTAATGAGATAAATACATAAGACTATAAGACACAGCTAAACTTCAAAAGAATTCATCTTCCCTGGTGATTAAATTATGCTCGCTCGATATGCATGAATCCAATTTATCAACAAATAGAGCACAGATGCAAAGGACGCTACACAATTAGAGGCAAACAATATTATCAGGAGAATATGCACCTCCAGCTGAAAGGCAGCACCATTCTAAGTAGCTACCCAGTCACTTGAGGAGACAACAGAAATGAAAGAGAATGGTTTTTAACAAGATGCAGGAGCTCAATAAACAGACAAACATTCCTCCAGGCAGTCGGAGTAAAGGGGAATACACAATCATCTCCTTTCTGATGTGGTGGGGTTAGAGAAGAGGGCTGGGGATCACTTCCCGGCTAGCACAATCAGCCCTCAGAGGACACCCTTAACTTTATTTGTTCCACTTGATGGTCATAAAGGAATCATACTCCCTGATTCGCCATAAAGTCAGCAGGTTTCTGAGAGCTGTGCCCTGCTTTACATCTAACACAGTGCTCTCTGAGGCTGCTCTGGGTTTTTATGTCACCCTAAGCACTTATATATGCAAAGTGAGGACATTTATTTTACATGTGATATAATGTACATGATAAAATAAAGAGTATTATGATTCCAGGCTTTTAATAATAGTGAAAAAGCTAAAGGAAGTGCAGTTAAGTTTGAAGAGTCATATTTCATTTGCACTAAACCCGTAATAATTACTTGATTAATCAAACAGCATACAGACAGAAAATTATCTGCAACTATTTAAATAGTCGTTTTAGTCATTTTTTAAGCAAAAAGATGAAACAGTCGCTGGTTTTAAGCTTTTTAAATGTGACAGATTTGATGCTTTTCTTTGTCATTTGTGAAAGGAAATTTCATATGTGGGTTTGTGGACTGATGGTCAGATAAAATAAGCTATGTGAATACATCACCTTAGGGCTGAGGGACATTATTATGGCCATTTTTCACAATTTTCTAACATTTTATAGAAAAAAAGTATTGATTCATTGAAAAAATAATCAGTTGATTAAACACTCATAAATTGTTAGTAGCAGTACTAGTTTGTACTGAATATGATAAATGACTTAATCAAGGCCTCAAATAAGTTTATTTTAGTAGACTTTTGGGAGCAATATAAACGTATGTTCACACTGTTTCACTGCAGAATAAGATGAATGGATGGTTGAAGTAAAGTAGTCTGTGGCAAAGTCATATTTTATTTGCACTGAGAATGATAAATGACTTAAACCCCAGCTCAGATATGTTCATTCTGTTTGACTCTTTAGGATGAACAAATCCAATGTAACCTTATTCTAATATTTCAGCACAAAGATTCATCTTCTTTATCTAATTGCAAACACACCCACAGGGTATCTACCTGCATTTGGCCTCTACGGGATTCACAACTCAAACAGTGTGACTATTAACAGTCTTCACACCTAACAAATATTTGATCTCACATTCTTTAACACATCCTCTAATAGCCATATGCTTTAAAACAAACGAGTTCCTGCTCCTTCTCCTCCCCTTCTCCTCCCACTATCATCACAACGGCTAAATCAAATATTCATGTTGGAGGGGAAAGCATTTAACACGTTGTTGTTATCTGAGAAATCAGCCATGCAGTTAATTGTTGTTGTAAAAAGGGAAATCTTGCAAGATTATGAAGCTAATTGGCATTAGGCATTCATTGTTTTCTCCTCTCTGACACCAGTATGATAAAGTGTTGCCTATGGAATGAAAGATATTAGATTCTCCAAAGAATATTGAGGACAAACAGCTTCACTATCTCAGCAGTATTAGAGTTTAGAGTGGCCTCTCGATGCCACTTTCCTTTTATGAGTCAAATGATCTGAATAATAGGACCTGCTGCTTGTAACGTTTCCACATTAGGTCATGGCTGAGGTTTCTACAATATCAGTGGACCTGTTGCTGTGGTTTTGTATCCTCCTAGTTGCACCTGCTTTTCTGTTACGTTGTTGAAGAGCCCTGAAGCCACCTGGCCCTATCCAAAGTGCGGCGGCGTGCACCTGGAATAGCTTGATGATGACTCACAATGAGGAGAATCTACCTACAGGGGAGTTTAGCCCCTCACAGTGAGAAAAACAAGTGTCTATTTGTCAGATCACATCTTTCAGGTCAGCAGCTTTTGGGCATTAGGGCAAACAGGAACACACTCTGGGGTTTGTTAGAAAGAGTTCAACTTTGACTGTATACCTTGAGGCGTTGCACTTTTAGACCTCTAATCTCTATCTGCTGCAAGTAGACAGCATATGGTAAAAGACAACAAAATGTAGCCTGAGGAAGTCTATTTAATCCTGGATGGCAAGCATCCCAGAAATCCAAGGAGGTTGTCAAAGCAAATGCAAATTTGAGCTTTTTGTGAAAACATATTAAAATCTACATATCGGACTTCCCTGTGCCCAGGCAGTGATTGAGCAGGAAGATTAAAAAAAGTTGATGACATGAGTTTTCCAAATTAGTATTACTTTCTGAAAAGAACTACGCCCTCGCATCCAAACTTTACACACAGTTGGGTAAAGAAAGCGCCATGGGGCCTCAAAGGGTATAACAAGTGAGTGCAGATCAATATAGCTAGCATGTGTTAAATTTCAAGATTGTTTGATGTCTGGACAGGTTCACAGGGAACAGGTTCAGGCCTGATTCAGAGCTGAGTCACCTCTCTCCTCAGTTTTACATCTCCATAACTTGAGATGGTGCAAGATGGATTAAATATCATTTACTTTTTGTGCAAGTTATTCTGTTTGAAGCATGTGACAATCCTGCTGAGTCCTGCTGAAGGAGCTGCTCATGCACCAAAGCAGAACAGAAGGCTTCACAGATGAAAAGCAATTTGAAAGATGCCAGGAATTATACAAAATGTCATGAAACTTTATTTTTAAAAGTGTCATGAGAATATGAAAATATCAAAATCATTCAGCATCACAGTTTTCACTGTTAATATACAATCATCTCAGTCACGCTTACATTCAATATATAAAAATATAAAGGGAAACATACATATTTTTGCCAAGTAAAACTGAGGCACTTGAGAAAACATGTTTTGCTATTTGAGTGCTGGCAAACTGTTTCTAATGACTGTGCAAAAGTTATAATAATTTCACCCTAAAAACTAAGTTTGCACTTGTTCCCTAAGTAACAATGGCTTCAGTATTCCTCTAGTTGTATTTATACTGTCATTCATAATGCGCCTTTGGTATTGTTTCTGTGGTTCGTATAAAAAAGTGGAGGACTGCAATAACAGCCATTGTGAGACACTGGTACAAACACTGAAGATAACATTGTGAAGGCATATAAAACATTCTAGACATGCAGAAAAAGTGCATGAATAGCACAGGTAGGTGAGTACATGGCATGACAAAGCTCGACACTGATTGCAATCACAGAAACACTGCTTGAAATGAGAAGCACGTGAGCACAGAGCTATTTCTCACTCTGAAATGAAATCGACCACTCGTAGAAAAAAAAAAAAAGAGTCTTGGGAAGAAACCCCCTCCATGTGATTCCCTGACAGTTCTCCTGGACTTGGAAAAATAAAGAAACAACAGAGGGGATTTTTTTTGTCTGGTGGTGGAAAAGTATCCCAGTTCAGTGTGCTACACAACAACCAGATTCCTCATGCTTGTGCAGAAGAGACATCCTGGAGAAGGTTTTGGAGCAGTTCTTGCATTGGTATTTTTTCACATCCGAATGGGTCTGTAAGTGAGCCCTGAGATTGGACCTGTCTGCAAAAGCCCTGTTGCAGTGAGGGCAGGAGAATGGCTTCTCTCCTGTCAGGGGGAGAAATGAGAAAGAAGACATTGTCAAAGATAGTACACAGACATATTTGAATAGAAATGGTGTGACAGAGGCATCTTGGCCTGTTATTTTTGGCTGGGTGCAACACAGTGCTTTAAAGGAAAGCACTTCGCTGAGCAGCTGATTGTTTGTAACATGACATTTGTCAAGAAAAAGCAATATTTTTCTTTTCAACACACCAGTAAAAGCAAAGCTACAGGAAGTAATAACATTCTGAGAGTTCACATTTTCGACAACAACATCAGCCTAGACTACAAACCTGTTGTGAGCTGTGTAACAGGCTCTACTGTTGCATTAAAGGCTATTAAATCATGTACTAGGTTGGATACAATTAGTCTGTGCCTAGAAAAGCCCACAACAACCATTCAGCCTCTTCACTCAGGAGGCCCCTCTTTTTCACTCACCGGTGTGCGTCCTGATGTGTCCTTGGAGCAGCCACGGTCTGGAAAAAGCTTTCCCGCATATTTTGCAAACGCATGGCAAAGTGTGAGTCCTGATGTGCATTTTGAGAGCTCCCAGGCTCACATACTCCTTCTCGCAGTATTTACAACTGAAGGATTTCCTCGTTTGGGCGTCGCAGTGCAGCTGTTTATGCTTGAGCAGTCCAGAGTACGTGGAGTAGGACTTGCTACACAAACTACATTGGAATTTCTCTGCCTCCACCCCGTGAGGGTCTGTCAGCTTGGGCAGCATCTGCTCGTCTTCATCACTCCTCGGGCTTTCGGAGCCGCTGTGGTCTTTAGAGGAGGTGTCGGAGAGCGATGAGGGGTATCCAGAGATGGGGGAGAGGTCACTGGGGAGCGGAGAGAGCGGCAAGTTGCTGGTAGTCCACACTGTGATGGGGCTGTACGCTGCCGGGCTCAAGATCTCCGGCTGGGGGATGACGGGCAGGGGAAGGCCCCTGTAGATGTGCGGCGTGAAGAACACTGAAAATAAAAGAAAGCAACATGAAATGAATGATCACATGTTACCTGTCATCCCTTCTGAGTGGAGGAGCACAGATGAACAAAAAGCAAACCAAAACTTCTGCGACGTAAAAAAAAAAAGAAAACGCGCGACTACTTGTTAGAAACAAAACTTTTGTAAAAGTCAAACATGTTATTTACTTATAAAACTTTACCTGTTGGGCTCTCCAGCTCACTATAATTTGGCTTCTTTGCGGAGTTTATGTGTTTCTTGACCAGAAAAGAGCGTGGCATCTTGGAGAACAAGTGGACAACTTTTGGTAAACTTTTTTTTTTCTTGGAAAAATATAGCGGTGAGCGTTTTTTACTGTGTGAAGACGGAAATCCTTATTGCTTAAGTCCAGTGGAGTGTCATGGTGCAGCGCTGCGCTCTTGGAAACAGTGCAGTGAGTAGCTGTAAAGAGCTGTAAATACTCCCTATCAGGTGCATGGGAGGAGCCATCCACTGCCATCTACATATACTGGGAGCTCAAACCAATTAAATCTCGCTTTTACCACGGAGCCTTAAAATGCGCCTTTGGCCTATAGGAGAGCATAACCACCTCTGAGGGGCTGGGTTTACTGCCATTTACTTCAGCTAGACAGGTGCTTTGTGCTAGACTTGGTGTGTTTCAAGGATGGAAGTGTATATGGCATCATACAGTTGGCACTGGTTGTTACCCCAAAAAGAACAGCAGAGTGAAATTGCCAAAAGTAAAAGCAACCAAAAAAGCATTTAAAAAAAAAAAATTCCTGCAACTACAGAAATATCATGCAAGAGTGAGTGCAAGGAACAGAACAAGAATAGGAGCTACAGGGTGAGATAGACAGGATTATTTAAAATGCCATTGCTAATGCAATCACTGCACAGAGTCTGCACGGTGCTACTGATGATTGTTGTGTTACAAACCTCTGGGGACTTGATTATCCCGTATGGGTGGCATATTTGGATTGGAGAATACTCCCACCAACACCACCCCCACCCTCCGCCCCCCCGCATGATGATGATAATAACTTGGCTAAAGGTTTATCATCTATATACACACATATCCAAATCTACTGAGCAGACAAATGATCCAACAACTGGACCAACCGGCATGCAGCCACCCACATCTTCACTCTGTGCTTTTGCCAAAAGATGGCCGTTCCTAATGCAGTTGTGTGTGGAGAAAGCCACACGTCTCCTTGCCAATAATGCAATAAGGCATTCCTCCTTGAAATGTAAATTTAAGTGTAGTTCCCTCTCAAGGTCAGACATGACACCATAATCAAATTTATCCCTGCTGCTACTGAACTGGACAAGGAGAGGCAAACTTAGCAGTCTACGCCCCCTTGTGTTCAAGTCAGTTCTTCTGAGAGGGGTGTGAGTTGAACATCTGAAAGTAACAAGGCAGGAAAAAAAAGAAACACACAAAAGGCAAAGGCTTAGCTATGGTGATATTGAAAAGCAGCTCCTGGAGCAGTTTGATTGGCTAGGTCAGCAGATATGAAAAGCTCCTTATGTGTGGGGCAAGCCTTAAGTTAATTGTGAACTGCTTATCTTATCTGGAAAACATAATTGCAGATCATGAATAGTTTCCCTTTGTGCCTGCTTGGATTATAAAGGGAAGGGAAGGTTATCTGTGCATAATAACTCCAAGCTACTGTCAGACATTCAGCAGGCTGATTGGGATGGGTGAGGAATGGTGGTGTTTGGTGGTGATCCAGCAGAAAAAAAACATTGTGCGGCGTGAAAAGATAATGCTTTCAAATCAATATTACCCACCAACCAAACCATATCCAAGAGAAGCAGTGTAAAGTGCTAAGTGCCTCCTTGCAGTTTTCATGCTCATGCAGTACTGTTCTCTCCATTCAGAACATGTGGACGCTGCTGTACTGACAGCAGTAAAAGAGGGAGCGAATGTGCGTGCCGACTCAAATCATATCACTAGTTTTGAAAAGCAGAGGCTGTAGTTTATGAGCTTGAAATTAATTAACAGAGAGAAAGCCATGTATCCTTGGCCCTGCATAGTGTCATAGCAGGAGAGTGTAACACCCACAAAATGTGCTTGAATAAAACATGAACATGCTTTTTATTTTGTAACATTTGCTTGTTTTTTTCTAAGAGGCAGCAGCAGCTCCTCAGTACAACATGCAGGTGTTGTTTACTATGTGCAGTATGTCATGTCATGTTAGTAGTCTCTTCTATTATGTTCCAGCAATGTGATTAAATCTTCGTCTAGATGGGGTTTTGTTGAATTCAGACTTGCATATTGTCCATCATTCAAATTCTTAAAAAAAAAAACACTTTTTAACCAATTACAGAGTTGACTGATGGACGACTGCAATCAGCAGTAATTCTTATATTTCTTTTTCTTTTTTATTTGCTTTGTAATTGCCTTTTCATCCCTCATTGTTTTTATTTAATGTAATCCTGCTTATCTTGCTTTGAGTTTTTAGTGAGTGCTCTTTGTATAAGCTTTAGCTTTCTACCTTTATTGCACTGGCTTTTGTTTACTTGTAATCCACATATATACATGTATGCAAATATATGTAATTGTGTGTGTGTATATATGTATGTGAATATATTTATGTACATATCATATATTTTGTTATAGCTGTATTATTAACATGTAGATAAATACAGGAGGTCAGATTGGTTAAAAAAATTTAAAAAAAATTAAATTTTCAAATCTGACCAGTAACATAAATATTTATGACCAAATCAGCAGCAACTATCAAAACCCGAATCCTGCCTCTTCAAGACTGTGTGGGTATAGTTTGTGTATAGTGTGTTCCAGATTGCAACTAACTGAACACCTCTCACATGTGTATTTGACGACCTGGGAATGAGAACGGGTTATACAGCATGTAGGAGAAACTAAGGTAGCCGCAAAACCCTTGATTTTTCCGTTCTGGGCTACTGTAGAAATATGGCAGTTCAACATGGCGGACTCCATGGACGGCGACTGGTCTGTAGATAAAAAAAGCTCATTCTAAGGTAACAAAGCACAACAATTCCTATATTTGGGTGATTATA